ACCCAGTTTAATCATGTGAAAATATCAGACAAATTGTAATATAAAACCTGATTTGTACCAAAGTCATAAAATTATAACAGGATCTGTTGCAACTTGGAATAGACCAAGGAGACACAAAAACAAAATAAAATGTGGTCTCTTAGTTTGGTTTTGGGAACATGAAAAATACATTAGTAGAATATTTATTAAAATCATATAAAATTGTGGTTTAATAAGGAATATATTAATATTAATATCTCATTTTGAAGAATGTAATATGGTTGTACTAGATATTAACATTAGGGACAAAAAGGAAATGGTGGGACAAGCCAGCCATGAAGATTTAGTGTCACAGATTAGCTAGTTGAAAGAGATACTCTGCAAATATTTTATGCTATTTCTATCTTTGCTCTTAATTATTGTTTTTGTCAATTTATGAGCGTTTAAAAAGTTGGTGCACCCTTATCATTCAGTACATTTAACAAATAGATGATTCTATTATCAAAAGAAGACTTGAAGCAACTCTAATAAATATTACAGAATTGCATGAGATTGTACCCAACACCATAGTGGTACAAATTATAAACCTGGCAAACTTTCTGGCCTTGCAACTTGTTTTGCATTTGTTTTTGCATTTCATTTGTCAACATATGAAACCAAAAATAGTCTAAGGGATTTCTACATGTAAGGACACTTTTCAAGGAGGTGTTGAAATCAAGTACTGTAACTCACTACAACTGGTTCTAATCAGCTAATATTGATGATACTGGAAACTGAAGACTATCAATTTGGAGTGATGGACATCTGATGCCAGATGCTGATAATGATCATAAGCCTTGAGTAACACTGATCTGCCAGACTCTTACTAGATATAAACAAAGATACCTTCCTGATCAATGACAATAAACTTTGTCTTAACCAATCACATATGGATATGTGGATTTTTTCCACCTTATCTAGGGTGCATCCATATTAACATGATCACAGGGCCTCCCCGGTGGCGCAACGGTTGAGCGCTGGGTTGCGAAGCTGCCTACGGCCTCTGCGGCGCCGGTTCGATCCCCGGCTGCTCCCCAGCCACTGGAGGAGGGTCCCACATGGTGTGCAGACCTCTCCTGCCGCCCGCTGCTCCCCTCAGCAGTGTACTTCGGTCCTTCTGCCTGCTCTGCTCCCCGCTCTGCCTCTGGTGAATTCTCTCACCCTCCCGCGCTTCTGACTGTACCCAGTGCATGTATAAACAAAACAAACAAACAAATAAATAAATAAAACATGCCTCTATTAAAAAAAAAAAAAAACATGATCACAGTAAACTTCCATTTAAGCACTTTAAGGAATCATTCAATAAATATTTTTTAATGTGTCACCCTGTGTAGCAAGCAAATATTCAGAACAATTGTGTACCATTTTTGGTAACCACATAGGTAATAAGGTATAGTTGAAAGTAAATAGTTCCAAAATAATAACACTATAAATACTGTCTTTAAAATTTCATTGAACAGTACTATTAAAATAGTTGAATTTTTGTTAGTACATTAAGATTCAATGAAACTGTTAACAAAAATGGTGAACAATTAAACAATCATATCAACCAAAAATCCACATGTGGCAAATACATAATTAGTATTCAGCATAATTTATCATTTGAGTAAAACAAATTAAAATGCCAATGAGCAGCTTTATTCACAATTGTCAAAACCTGGAAGAAACCATGAAATACTTCAGTAAGTAAATGGATAAACAAACTGGGATATCATTCAGAGCTTAAAAAAAAGGGAGCTATCAAACAATGAAAATACATGGAGGAAATGTAAATAGATATTAAATATTTAATGCATATTACTAAGCAAAAACCGTCAATTTGAGGAGTTTTAATATCCTATGATTGCAGCTATATGACATTATGGGAAAGAATATGATTGACTATGGAGACAGCATAGGATTAGTAATTACTAGGATGTGGGGCTAGCGAAGAGGCAGGGTACAAAGGAATTTTTGGGTAGTGAATACACTTTGCATATTATAATGATAGATAACATGTTACTATACATTTTCTAAAGCCCAAGGAATGTACTACACCAAGAGTACACTATAATGTAAACTATGGATTTTGACTAATAATGATGTGTCTTTACATTCATCAATTATAACAAATGTTCTACTTTGTTAAGGAAGTTTTATAATGGCTGCAGGTTCTAAATACAGAGTTGAGGAGGAAGTATATGGGAATTGTCAGAACCTTCTGTTGACCTCAAAATCACTCTAAAAATAAAATCTATTTATTTATTTATTATTTTTTTAAAGATTTATTTTTATACAAAAACTGGGGTACAGGCCAGATGTGTGGGAGTGTGAGAGGATTCACCAGAGACAGAGCAGGGGAAAGAACAGGCAGACTGATGAAAATACACTGCTGAGGGTAGCAGCGGGCGAAACAGGAGAGGTCTGCTACGCCATGTGGGTATCTCCACGGCCAGCAGGGATTGAACCGGCACTGCAGAGACTGTGGAAAACTTCACAGCACTGCTCTCAATCGCCTGTGCCACCAGGGAGGCCCTAAAATCTATTTTTTAAAAAAAGGAGATAATCATGCCGCTGGATCCCCCTCTGGCAGGAATTTAGAAGACCTAAATAAGGGACCAGGAAAAAGACTAATTATAACAAAGTAAAAATCAAAATCAACAAGCAACTATAAACCAGAGACACACTTTGGGGAGGGGTGAAGGGAGGAGATTAGGGTCAAAATAAGAGGGGGGAATTGTATGGGAACAATAACCAAGATGAAAATGCATACATTGTGCAAAAAATGAAAAGTGATGTAAAAATATATAAAATAAATTAACTAATTAAAAAAGGAGATAATATATATATATTTGTGTGTCTAAAATTTGAAAATCTATTGGAAATGAAAGTGCAGATATGAAGGAAGGGGTCTAAATTCTCACATGCTCTTGGCAGGAATGTTCCACTTCATAAGTTTGAAGTTCTCTTTAGTTAAATGAAAATCTACCATTTGACTCAGAAATTCTATTACGAGGTATTTACCAAGAGAAATAAAAGCATTTGTCCATAAAAAGGCTCATCCAGAAGTGGTCATAGTAATCTTGATTTTCATAGCCAAAAATTTGACACAGCTTAAATGCTAATCATTATTAGATCAAAGTATGAACAAATTGTATTATATTCATATAATTAAATGCAGTATTCAGCAACAAATAAGAACTATTAAGAACACAACAGTGTGGATTACACTAAATGAACAAGACAGGAAAATAAAGTATATATACTATTTTCAATTTATTTAACATTTATATAAATATTTCATTTATATAATATTCAAGAAAAAGCAAACTATTTCAGAAAGTGCAAAAAAAGTGTCATGTAGTTACAAAAAGTGATCAGTGGTAGCCTGGGATGGGAATAGTCACAGAGATGCTGGAGAGTAGTGTAAAGAGAGTAGTGTAAAAAGAGTTTAGGGGTGTTAAAATTTTGATAATGGTTTTGACTTACACATAAATATGAAAGCTTATAAAGTTATATACTATAAATAAGTACAGTTTATAGTATCATAATCATTTTCAATAAAGCTGTTAAAAAGATACTGAAATGATCTATTTCTATATCATTCAAGAAATCAGTCTCCATTTTCTACATTGTCAAAGGATATGTGATAATGGCTTGCAATGATGTTCACAATACATTTTCTAACATCCAGCCCATCAAATCATACACTTAAGATAATCATGTAATTTCAGATATAGTAAGGCAGAATTAGGGAAAAATGGATTTTGTCCATTCTGCCTAAAACATTTTCAGGAATGCCATCAAGTCAAAAACTAAAAGTTTTGATTATAGATGGTCAGTTGAGTCAGGAACTTTTGAATGTATACTGAATTGTTTTATTTAAAAATTTCCTCCAAATTACATCTCAATAAACTATTGTGGAACCCTTGTAAGTTCTGTGTGTCATTTACAATTATGCAAGTTTCTGTGGGGCTCATGCTATACAGAGGTCATCATGATCAAAAAAGGAAAAAGTATGGTAATGATCCCATTCCAGGGAGATACTGTAACAAAGCACAAGTTTAAGCTTGTAGGTTCTTTTGACCTTCTTAATTAATAATAGCTAACAGGGCCTCCCTGGTGGCACAGGTGGTTGAACACCATGTAGTGTGGCTATCTGCAGTCTTTGCACCACAGGTTTGATTCCAGCCGGCTGGCAGGAATCCCACATGGCGCAGCAGACCTCTCCTGTCTCGCCTGCTGCTCCTCTTAGCAGTGTATTTCGTCAGTCTGCCTGTTCTGTTTCCTGCTCTGTCTCTGGTGGGTCCTCTTGTACTCCCACGCATCTGGCCTGTACCCTAGCTCTTGTATAAATAAATAAAACTTTAAAAAATAATAATAATAGCTAACAGTTAGTGAATGCTTAATATATGCGATATATTCTTATTAAATTTTTGCCTATAACCTCTTAAGATCTATACTATAAATTTCCTCACTTTACAGATGAGAATACAGAGTTTAAAGAGGTTAAGCCGCTTGCTCAAGGGAATAAGGGAAGAGCAAAATTTCCAAATAATGTGTGTCCAAGGGTAGAACTGAATTTTATTTCTCTACATTTTGTTTTTTTCCTACAGAATAATAAGCAGTAGACAGATAAATATTAATAAATTACTTTAAAATTATAGATATTTTATGTGAAGATCCTGTTATATAATTGATTAAATCAAATGCTCATCTCTAGTACCTACTGCAAGCAACATGTGATTTCATAACTTTATATTAGCTGATTGATCCCATACAATTTTGAAGATCTAGTCAAGGTTACCACAACCTATGTAATAATTTATATCTTGTTTTATTGCCTTGTTTGTTCTATGACAAGGAGGATCCATTTTTATAATTTGTGGATAAAAAAAAATAGCTGTAAACAGAATTAATTACTATATTTAAGGCAGTAATAAGAGATAGCTCTCAGAGGCCCAAAATCTCTAAATGATAAGGGCAAGCATCTTCACACATACCTGAAAATGTACTGTTTTATTTGCATGCTCTTCTCTCTTTCTTTCTATAGGTCCTCTCTCTCACTGTGTTTTTTCTTTCCTCCTATGTCTGCTGCTCTGCATCAGAGGCAACTATCTTTAAAACAATTCTAATGGAATCATTTTCTGACAGGACAGTTAAACTGAACTTGCGCAACACTTTCTCTCACTTTTCCACTCACTGCCTAATTTACTATTTCCAGTATCTAAGTAGCCTCCTGTCCACAATGCTAGAGACATCTTAGGTACTGACCATTTCCTCATAACTGAAACTATTTATTTCTATATCATTCAAGAAATCAGTCTCCATTTTCTACATTGTCAAAGAGTATGTGATAATGGCTTGCTATGATGTTCACAATACATTGAACCTAGCACTGCTAGGTTTCAGCTTCTATCCAACTTCTGCTTCACAGATAAGATGCTTAGCCTATGTCTGTTTCTTCATTTTGCATAGCAGTTTTATGATAGCCTACATCTTTCTCTCTCCTAACTTTTAATTTTTACTTCCTGTCTCAATGTCTTTGTACTATACTTCCTATTTCCTCCCATTTCCATTAATTCTAATATAAATTAAAATATTAAAACATTTTAGTCATGAGTGTGTACGCTGGTCTGTATTTTAAAATTATGTGAAACTGAATTTTGGCTCAAACCTGCTTAATAGCCATATTCTTATTTTAAGAAGTGGGTGATTCTGAATATGTGTTGTTTTCCTCTCAAGATAATAAAAAAATCTGTTTATGGATTTATTTATGTAAATAAGACATTTGTTCATTTGTGTCAGCCATATTCTATGAGTCACAGAATTTCCTACCTCATCATGATTATTTATTAAAAACAAAGTTTCTCCATTTCCAAGAAAGTATTTTGTTTGAACTTAAAATCCTACCCATAAGAAACTGTAATCATTCCTTCCTTTAATCGTAAATATGAATTTCACAGCACATTAGCATAAGCACATCAAATATAGAAAAGATGTATTTTAAAACAATTAGGTTAGAATAATAATTCTCAAGCTGGGGGTGTATGGTATGTGTGTGTGTGTGTGTGTATGTTACATGCACACATACATGCCTTTTCACTAGATAGCCACCAAAGCATAAAGTAATAAGCATAATACAATACTAAGTATGGCACGGAATATATAGCTTTTTTCATATGTCATAGGATGATATATTTATAATTCTAAAACAAATATTTTTCACAAGTGTTTTTGCTAGAATTGTCTTCTTTTTACATTCAATGCCATTCAGTTCTACTTGAAATACAAATTTTAGTTGTCTAATAAGCTTTAAAATCCAAAAAATCTAGATAAATTTAGCTCAGATTGAATAAAAAGCTACAAGTTCTTTGAATCATCTTCTCAGGGGTGTGAGTTGGTGTTACAGGGTAAACAGAATATTAGACCTGGAGAAAGGTTACCAAATTTATCATCTTGATCCTATCTTCCTAAGTAATGGGGCAAAACATTTACCTCCTATTTATGTTTATTTCTTCATATTTATAATGACAGTGATTACAATCATTCTATATAATAGTGATATTCAGACTTTGGTGTACAGAAAAAAATCCAGTAAAGGTTAAAAAATAAACAAATAAGCAAATGTAGAGTCTCCTGGTAAAGTTCAAGTTCTCAGAGATTTTAACTCCGCAGTCCTTGTTGAAACATCTTAGGTAACTCTGACAGAAAGAACTTGGATTGTGAATAACCCTTCATATACTTAAGAGGAGTTAATGAATATATAAAGCAACCTAGCACATAATAGGTGAAGAAGTTATACCACAGGTTATAGATTATGCAATTTATGGAAATATACCAAAATAATGAATGACAGGAAGCCTTAAGGTACAGTTGTTAGGAAGAATTCTAAGGGAAAAAGTGTATGTATCTCACAATTTTAAAGATATTTACATGCAACAGGTAAATAAGGCATTTGAAAATGTCCAAAATATTAATTTGAGAGGTAATATAATATTTTATATAGACCAATACTATTCTGATAATGACAAATCAGAAGTAACACAACAATGAGGATAGGGACAATATTTAAGACTATTAAACAGATAAAATCAACTAAGTCATAAAAAAAGTCATAGAAACATAAATAAACCTTTGGTTTAATTAAGTGTAATCAATCAAATGCAACAATGAGAAAATATGACAAATTTATATATCAGCAAGTGTTGAAGAAAATATAGATGTTGGAAAAGATAAATTATTATGGGTAATTTATTACAAAAGACAAAAGTAAGTTTATTGGTAAGGAAAACTAAAGAAACTTCTTCCTTAATAATTAAATTCAAAGCTGGGGATGGGTTGATGGGTATTAGGACTATACCAGCTGCTTTTGAGAATGAAGTAATTATAATTTAGGTGTGTCTTTTCTAGGTAAATATTTCTTAAATAAATTAAGATAAATATTTTGCATATCACTCATGCAATATTTGTATTTTATTGGTTTTAATAAATATAACTTTAAAAGCTGTTTATATTAATTTTTAATTGACATGAATTGCATTAACACACATTTGGACACCGATTCCATATGCATGTGACAAATATTTTGGCATGAATATGAATTCAAACTACCATATGCCTATAGTTTGAAAGTCACTATTTCAGATTATTAGCAAGGAAATATCTCAAACTAATTTGAAGTATCCATGCTTCAAAGGTTTTAAATACCTTAAGGAGGTATTTAAAAAATTGTTTACTGAGTACAGATAAATTCATCCCGCCAACAGTATCCATGTTCTCACCAACACTTGCTCTTGTATTTTTGATATAGGTCATTTTTACAGGCATTATTAAATAATGAAAAGATGATGCTATTCCAGTCAAATGAAAGCATGGAGAGGTGTTTGCATCTGAAAGTTTGTACTATAAATGGATGGAAGTGTGAGAGTCTGGTGTATAATAAAAGTGGGAGCATAAAGGTAGGCATCCTAAAAAAATACTACAGGGTTGATACAGGAAGAGAGATTATGCATTTGAACAATAAAAGTAACATTTTAGAAGGAATTTAAGAGATAAAATTTTGAACTGAATTACTATATATGATTTTATAAATTCTCTGTTTAGATGTCTGAAATCATCAGTGTATTCCGCGTAGTAGGAGGCCATGTTCTAATGCAAATGGTCTGGTTTGGTAAGATCAAAAATATTTTTTTTTTTCCTATCAACAGTATAGAAATGACATCAAATGTGGCTGAATGGATACTTTTCCATATTATTTTATTACTTGGTTCAAAAAGTAGAGACCTTGGTTGATATTCATAGATATCACTGTAGGTTGTAAATAACTTTCACGGATCTTTCTGTTCTTTTAGCAATGGGATTGGTCAAATGAAAGCAAACATTTCACAGCTATGGTAATTTCTAATGAAAGTAAAGAGTTTTCTTTCTTAAAAAAGATTTGTGTGAAAGTGTATTATTTTAATGTCAATAAGAACAAATAAAATAAGAATGCAACATAATCAAGACTAAGGAGTTTTAATTTTTAGAAAGCCTCCATTATTTTTTTTAAATATTGATTTATTTATGCATACGAGAGCTGGGGTACAGGCCAGAAATCCGGGGGGAGAGAGGATTCACCAGAGACAGAGTGGGGGACAGAACTGGCAGACTGACTGAAACACACTGCTGAGGGGAACAGTAGGCAAGACAGGAGAGGTCTGCTTCACCATGTGGGTTGCTCCCTGACTAGCTGGGGATCGAACTCATGCTGTAGAGGCTGCGGATTGCTTCATGGTGAGGTGCTTAAACCCTTGCACCACCAGGGAGGCCCGGAAGCTTCCATTATAATGTAAAACAATGTGAGAAAATTATATCTAATACAAATAAAAATATACATGCATGCACACATAAATATATTATTATCCAAATAAGAGTATATTATTTTGTAGACAGCTTTGACCATGAATGGACATGTATCTTTCCTGTTGTAGTGTCATTCACTTGGAAGAAAAAAATGTCATTATAAAAAGGAGATAGAACAATTTTGTATAAATATAGTCCTATATTAGACTGTGTATGACATTCATTCAGGGGAAGACATACCAAGTAAAATTTTAAATATAAAGACATATTTATTAAGAAGAGATTACCTAACCAGAAGGTGGATGAATTCTAGTGGTAAATATTAAAAGTTTCCTAGGCTGAGATTCAAATGCTAATGTAGCCAGGGGGAAATTAGAAGAAACCTTAAATTCTTTTTGTAGTAATAGTAATGGATATTATTTGCATAAGGACAAAATGGGTTGCTCTCTCTGTGATGAACTGCTGTCACTTGGCCAGTGGTTCAGGAAAACATAGGAGAGCTTCAAATGCAGTTGTTCAACTCTCACCCAAGAGATAAAGATTGAAAGGGCATGGACTAGGCAGGCAGGGGGTTGGTTGGTAGATGCATAAAGAAACACTATTTTAGACTTCTAAGTTAAAAGCAAACATACCATGCCTTCATCCAAATTAAGGACTTTGATTTGACCTCTGGGCCTCAAGAAATAGTTTTTGTAGAGAGTAGGCTTACTGATTGATTTTCCACTCAAAACTAAAAGGCAATTAACAGTTAAAAAATTGAAGTGTTACAGAAAGTTGTTTTTTTAAGACACTTAGCCATATGGAATATTGAACTTTATCTAAGATACTTTTTTAAGTATTACTCAGACCATGCTGAAGGTACACATCCCTTCCCCACAGCCCCTTCTTTAAGTAGATGGGAATGTTAAATGTTAGACATATTAAAAGATACTGAGTTTACATTATTTTTGATGGTAGTCTCATTCATGAAATCATGTAGAAAACAAGAGAGAAAGAACTGTTTTGCAAAAATATAAATTTTTGTGGCTATCTGATATCAACCTCCGGGATATCTCAGTCCCAAAGGTAAAAGGGATGCCATCTGCTACAAATCATTAGACTTTTAATCCGTAGTCATATTATTCTTAGTGCTCTTGAGCATCAAGTCCATTATGTTACTTTAATAAGCAATAATTATTATCTCGCCATAGCAAAGGCAATGGGTTGTACAGAAAAGAGCATAGAATCTAAAAGCAAAAGGTCATCCATGTGTCTTTCCTTCATGAGTTTCAAATACAGCTTATC